AAGTGGTATGACTGGTTGGAGAGTAGAAATAAGAGAGAATAAATGTGCAAAGGTTAAAAGTGGAAAATGTGTGTATAATAATGTATGAAGGAAGAAAAATGCAAATAAGAAATAATGGGGCAACAAGGACAAATATTCTAAAGAAGAATAAGGGGGGGAAATGTAAATAATAGAAGATTACTGTTACGAAATCGCTGTAAAAAAGGGAGGAATATATACTGTGTGTGTATGTGTGTTATGTTTTGTTTTGTTGGTTTAAAAAATAAAAATATATATTTAAAAAAAATAAAAACAACAACAACAACAACATGCACAATCTCTTAGCATCAGCAAACGGAAGTGTCAGGATTGTGGTCATTGAGCAAAGCAGTTACATGGGCAGTCACATGACATCTTGCTTAACAACCGCTCCATTCAATGTCTAAGATGATAAAACTGATTTTTTTTCTTACTTCAGGTGAACAATCTCATTTTCCAGATCCATATTTCGTTTATGAAGCTCTTCCAACTCTCGCTCTGATTCAGATGCTCTGACTCCTATTACATGATCAACAGTAACACTGCAGCTTTTGAGTTTCTTTTGCAAAGCGCTTTTTTCTTTTTCACCCCTGAAATATGTATTTTTATTAATGCAGTAGTATACTTGCTTTCATGTGGATCAAGTATGTAAAATTAAATGTTCTTAATATATATTTGATATACTGTACAGTATATCCCATTAAAACAAACCCTTGACAAGTTTATTTCCTCTTGCAACTTTATCCATTTTCATTTTTTTAATGAAAAACACTGTTTATAAAAGTATCTCCAATGTTTAAAATAGTCCCAATTAAGTTTTTTCCTTAGCAATGGAGTTGCTTAAAATGCCGCCTATGCGGGAGGGGGGTGGGAAAAAAATCCTCCTCCTTCCCCCCCCCCCAAGCTTCCAGCTTTTCATTAAAGATAGGTACTTCCACCAAAAGTCCCGTTTCAACAAAGAGCAGAGAAGAATCTCACCGGACTGGCTGCTTGCTGTCAAAATCAGCTGTTTTCTGTTCCTGACGATTGGCTGTTAATGGTGACTCACATAAATGCGATCCACCTTTCTTCTGCTGGTTCCAGGGGCTGC